GTCATAATTGCAGTAAAAGTATAAGTAGGAAAAACTATATAAAAATGTGGTACTTTCGGACGCCTGGGTGGCGCAGCGGTTGAGCGTCTGCTTTCAGCTCAGGGCATTTCCGGGATTAAGACCCACATGGGGCTTTCTGCATGGAGCCTGCTTCTCCCTCTGCCTATGTGCCTGCTTCTCCCTCTGCCTATGTCTCTGCCTCTCTCTCTCTCTCATGAATTAAAAAAAAAAAAGTTGGTATTTTCATGTTTCTTAAATCATTTTCTAATACATTGCCATTTTTATACTTTCTGAATTAAAGAGAGTTAAGTAACATAACCAGAGACTCATCTATATTTGGAGAAGAGAACAAAAAATCCTAAATAAAAGCATATCCATATATCCCTTATTTTAAGTAGTAGTTACATCTCATAATTTTTACTTTAGTTATGTAACTTGCATATCTACATTATATACCCCAGAAGTGGTCAAAGAAAATTTAAGTTATTATTCTTATAATTTTTCCATGGGTTTAATAGGTTAGCAGGATAGTAGGGCAGAACAGGGAGAGGAGAGCTAGACCTAGTGTTTGCCATTTTACTTTTTGTTAGAGTCAGAGATGTGTTTTTCCAGCAAGACTATTATGTAGATCACTCCCTAATAGACATTTCAAGGTATTCCCACTCTATTTCTTTTCCATTTGCTGCAAGTCTGATTTATCCTGAATAGGGGCTGATTACTGGTCCTAAAATGAAGAAGTGTGGAACAAAGATGTACTTAATCTGCAGCATGAGATGAAAATGAAATGAGAAACAAATAAAACTTTGTTGTTACAATTTTTTAAAAAGTAAATGATGTAAATATGCCAATTAAAAGGCAAAGATCATTAGTCTGTATTTTAAAAAGCAAGACCCAACTATATGCTGCCTGGCTGACAAAGATTAAAAAAAAAAAAAAAGGATGGAAAAATATATAAAATTTTAACACTATTCAAAAGAAAGCTACAATAACTATACGAGATAAAGTAGATTTCTTTTTGAAGATTTTAATTCTTAGAGAGAGACTGTGTGTACACATGAGTGTGGGTGGGGAGAGACAGAGAGAGAGAGACAGACTTAAGCAGACTTCCTGCTGAGCAGGAAGATCTACCCCAAGATCACAACCTGAGCCAAAACCAAGACTCAGATGCTCAACTGACTGCAACACCCAGGTGCCCCGGGATAAAGTCGATTTCTAAGCAAACAATATTACCAGGACTAGAGAAGACATTTCACAAGAGGGCATAACAAACTCAAATGCTTATATACTCAAAAACACAACTTTAAACTACATGAAACAAAGACTACAAAGAATTTAAACAGAAATAGTCAAATCCACAATTATGGTTGGAGGTTTCAATAGTCTTCTGTCAATATCCAATATCAGAAGTAAACAGGAAACCAGCAAAGATACAGTACACTTAATATTATCAAATAAATTTAATTGATTAATGTTTACAGAATACTCGAAACAACAGCTGAATATACCTTCTTCTCAAATTCACATAAAATGTTTACCAAAATAAGATCACATTCAGGATCATAAAACAAGTCTCAACAAGTTTAAATGGCTATTGCTAAAGGAGGGCTTAAAAAGAAATATACAGCACCAAACATTTATATTAGAAAAGACAATAAAAAGACACAAACATTACATACAAATGTCAAAAAAAAAAATCACAAGACAACTACAGATCAATATTCACTCTGAACATAAATGCAAAAATCCCAAATTCAATTTTAGCAGATCTAATCCAACAATATTTTATAAAGACAATATATCATGACCAAGTGAGTTTATCCCAGAATGCAGAGTTGATTTAACATTCAGAAATCAATGTAATTCACCATATTAAATAAGAGGAACACCACATGATCATCTCAATAAATGCAGAAAAAGCATTTGACAAAATCCAAAATCTATTTCTTTTAAACTCTAAGCAAACAAGGAAGAGAAAGGAACTTCCTCAATCTGATAAAAGCCATCTACAAAAACCTAGTTAACATATTTGATGCTTTATCCCAAGATGAGGAAAACAAGAATGTACGTCCACCACTTATATTCAAATTTGCTAGAGGTACTGGCCAGTTGTGATAAGGCAAGAAAAAAAAAAAAATAAAGGCACCCAGATTTAAAAGAAAGAAGTTCAAAGTACTTTATTCAAGATGACATGCTCATCTACATAAAAAATCTCATGGAATCTAAAAACAACAAAAATATAAACCTACCAGAACAAGTTTAGCAAGGCTAAAGGATACATAAGGCAATACAATTCCAATCAAAATCTCAGCAAGTATTTTTGTGGAAATTAACAACTTGAGGTAAAATTCATATGGTAATGCTAAGTTCCAAAAACAGTCAAAATGGGTGAACTAAGTTGGAGGATTAACATGATCCGATTTCAAGACACAGTATAAAGCACAGTAATCAAGATAGAACTGTACTGGCATTAAGATAGAAAACAGATCAATGGAACAGAGTTAAGTCTAGAAATAAACCTATACATACAATAACAACTAATTTTTTACCAAAGTGCAAAAGTACTTAAGTGAAGAAAGAATAGCCTTTTCAACAAATGGTACAGGAACTATTAAATATGCATATTCAAAGTATAGATATTTGAATCCATATACTTTGCTCCATAAACAAAACTAACTCAAAATAGATCAGATCTAAACATAAAGCTATTAGAACTTCTGTAAGAAAATACAGGAGTCAAGCCCTGTGACCTTGAGTCATCAAAAACACAATCTGGGGGCAGCCCCAGTGGCGCAGCAGTTTGGCGCCGCCTGCAGCCTGGGGTGTGATCCTGGAGACCCAGGATCAAGTTCCACATCGGGCTCCCTGCATGGAGCCTGCTTCTCCCTCTCCCTGTGTCTCTGCCTCTGTGTGTGTGTGTGTGTGTGTGTGTGTGTGTGTGTGTGTGTGTATCTATGAATGAATAAATAAAATCTTTAAAAAAAAAAAGCACAATCTATAAAAGAACCATTTCAAAATGGACTTCATCAAAATTAAAAACATATGTTCTTCAAAAGATACTATTAAGAGAATGATAAGCCACAGACTGGTTAAAAATATTTTAAAACCATATAGCTGTTAAAGAACTCATATTCCAAATATACAAAGAACTCCTAAAATACAATGATAAGAAAGCAAATAACCTAATTTTTAAGAGGCAAAAAATTTCAAATTTCTTTTATCAAAAAAGATACTTCAATGGCAAATCAGCACATAAAAAGATGCTCAACACCATTAGGAAATGCAAAGTAAAACAATACTGTTAGAATGGCTAAAACTAAAGACTAACCAAGTATTAGCAAGGATGCAGATGAACTGAAAATTTCATAGTGATGGTGGGAATGTGAAAAAGTATAGGCCCTTTTGAAACAGTCTGACAGTTAAATATGCATCTATCATATAAACCAGCCATTCCAATCCTTGGTATCCGCCCAGGAGAAATGTAGCATACATCTATGTATACTAAGGCTTTTACACACAAATAAATAATATTCACAGCATTTCATAACAAAAAGTGAATAAATTATGATATATCCATAATAGAATACTACTAAGCAATTAAAAATGAACTATTCATACACATTACAACATGGATGAATCTCAAAATAATTATGCTGAGTAAAATACTCCATGTAAAGAAAAGTACTTATTATATTATTCCATATTTCTATAAAATTCTAGAAAATGCAAACTAATCTACAGTAACTGAAAGCAGATCAATAGCTGTGTAGGGATGGGAAGGGGGATAATAGATATGTTCATTTTCTGGACTTTCGTGATTATTTCACAAATATATATACGTATGTCAAAACCTATCAAACTGCACACCTTAATTATATGTACTCTATTATGTCAATTATATACAAAAAAAGTTACTAAAGGTTATCTCTCTTGTTACCCTTAAAGCCAGTGGTAGTATATATCTTGACTGAACATAAAAAGGAAGTCTTCCAATAATTCTTTTGTAGCTAATGCCCAAAAAGAGCTTCTGATAATAATAATGTGAAAGGGTTTATAGGGTCCAGAGTATACATTCCTAACAACTATTCTATTTCATTCCCATTAAGAGAAAAGGGCATTTTGCCTTCCATGAATAAATTGAATGAAGAGATTTCCCACTCTAAACCATAAATCAGATATCTAAATTAAATTACTTTATAAATTAACCAAAGGGGACTGGTTAGAGTTTAAATTAAAAATGGCAGTTTTAGGGGCACCTGGGTGGCTCAATTGGTTAAGCATCTGCCTTCAGCTCAGATCATGATCCCAGAGACCTAGGATTGAGCCCTGCTTTTGCATCAGGCTCCCTGCTCAGTGAGGGGTCTGCTTCTTCCTCTCTGTCCTTCCCCACCCTCCCACTGCTCATGCTCACTCTCTTTCTCTCTCAAATAAATAAATAAAATCTAAAAAAAAAAAAGAAAAGAAAAAATGGTAGTTTCTTTGCCTTAAAAAAAAAAAATCCTAAAATTCAGGAACTTAGGGAATTTGCTATATTAAGAAAACAAATCTCTAAAGCAGGGATCCCTGGGTGGCACAGCGGTTTGGCGCCTGCCTTTAGCCCAGGGCGCGATCCTGGAGACCCGGGATCGAATCCCACATCGGGCTCCTGGTGCATGGAGCCTGCTTCTCCCTCTGCCTGTGTCTCTGCCTCTCTCTCTCTCTCTCTCTCTCTCTCTCTCTCTCTGTGTGTGACTATCATAAATAAATAAAAAGAAAAAAAATTTTTTTTAAATCTCTAAAGCAATCTGAGCCAGGAGAAAATTTTAGTACAACTTTAGTTTTAAGACCAACTCTTCCAAAAAAGACTTGAATACTCTTGTTAAATAATTTTGATAAACATGGAGCCAAACACTAGAAAATAAACATTCATAGTATGGGTAAACTTATATATACACATATATACATAAATGAATGATTGAGCGTGTATAACTGCAAAGAAAGAAAAGCCAAGCAACCTCACTCACCTGTTTTGTTCCTCCAGTTTAGCCAGGAGTTCTAAGTCGTCTGGACTCAACTGTGAAGGGGAAGATGGAGAAAGGGCTGGCGTGGATAGTGTGGTAGATGAGGATGTAGTGTGTAATGAAGCAGATGGACTTGCCACCTGACTGGCCATCTGACTGACTGTATGTGATACTGTGTTCTTCACCCATGAGAGAGTAGAACTCAGCTTTTCTGCTACCTTGTCTGTCGCCACCTACAAATAAAAATGAAAGTTGAATATATTTTAGTTTTATTGCATTTATTACCAAGAAGGTAAGAAGTTTTACCTAATAAGTTAAGTTATACCTAATAACCACCATCACAATATTTTCTTTGAGGTTATAAAGGTAAAACCTACTTTAGCAACAATTGTCCTAACATCCATATTTCAGTTCTGCAACATGAACAAACTAGAACAGTGTTTTCCAAACTACATGCTAAAGTTCTTCAGAGAGTAATAAAATCAATAAAATCAATATGACAGGTAATGCCAGCACCTTTTAAAAATGAAAAAGAAAATATCAATGTAAATATATACTGTTATTCTTATGAAATTGTCTATATGAACATATATTTCATATATGAAATTGTTGGTTTAGTTACATATATGTATTACAACTACATAATACACATACATACATTTTTTAGTATACTGAGTTGGAATATAAAATGTATTCTGTAATGAAAAACATTTGAAAGCCAAGTAATTAAAACATGTCCAATGGGTGATGAGGACCCAGAAATGCTGTAACATAACTAATAATTCAACAAAAACTAGGGTTGTTTAGCATAAATTAAAATGTAATAAGACCCATGATACCTGTCTTCAAATGGCTAAAGAGTATTTTTATAGAAGAGGGACTTTTTCTAGAAGAACAAAATTATGATAAATGATTGAGTAGAGTGGGAGAGATGCAAGGCACAATTTTCACATAGTTAGAACAATTCAGAAATAAAATAGGATGCTTAGAAAGAATAGACATCCCCATCAACGGCTATAACAAAGCAGTTATTATAACAGCCAAATGTCAGAAGTTGAAGATAACTTTCTGTTTGACGTAGGTAACCAAAATTTAAAAAGCCCTTAAGATCCCTCCGGTTGCTAAGATTCTGATATCCATATATTCAGTATAAATCATGCCCATCTCCTAAGCAGATATGTATACAAATTCAGCTGAAGAACAAAATATATATAAATAATATTCAAACATGGCATTATCACTTCACTAATGAAAAACAATATACATAATAACCATATTTGAATATCTATATAAAACTAAACATTCTTAATGATATGTTTATAAAATAAGGTATTAATAGGCTTTTTAAGGGCCTACATTTTCTAAAAACTATCATAAAAAGAGCTTTTTTTTTTTTAAGATTTATTTATTTATTCATGAGAGACAGGGAGAGGCAGAGACACAGTCAGAGGGAGAAGCAGGCTCCATGCAGGGAGCCCGACATGGGACTCGATGATCCCGAGACCCCAGCATCACACCCTGGGTGTGAAGGCAGGCATTAAAACCGCTGAGCCACACAGGGATCCCCATAAAAAGAGCTTCTTGATTGTGAAGTACTTATATAAAAGCTAATAACTATGAAGCACTTTTATGTGCTTTGAGAAGATCTTAAATTCTATATCATAGGTAAATGGCTAAAACACTGTGAATTATTTTCGGAATCAGCATAGTCTCAGCTAATCTTAGTTATATATAGCAATTCATGCTACAGAAATTACAACACCAAGACATACAATCCCACTGAAACTATTTTAGCAAACACTATTCTCATGGTTTGCCCAAAGCCTTTTTTGTCACCTCAAAACATAGATGACTCTCTCTCTATCCCCCTGCCCTATTTCTTCCATCTCAACCCAGCAGAATATTTTGATGTAAGGAAAGAATAAAATGGAAAAGGGATTCTAAGGTCATATTTGAGCAACTCAATATGAGACTGGAACTTCTAAGACAAAAATGTGATTACAAGTGTTGAAAGGGACAGAAGTTTTTTTTAACCTTAGAACACCTCTTATCTTTAGTAACTCATTTTAGAACTTACTTCTCTTAGAAACAGTATTATAGGTGGTATAAGGGGACCCAAACTGTTGAGGGAAGAATCTCCAAGAAAGACAAGTAGGATACAGTGTGGAACCCAAGGAAAAGAAGTATGGGGCAGATCACATAGGCTTCCAGGCAAAAGAAGTCCTCGCCAATGCACAGAGCAGCAGCATACCTCCTCAGGGCAAAAAGCCTGACAGGAACCAAAGGATAACTTAGCCAGAACTTCCTTTAAATAGTAGGAGTCATGGTAGACCACAAAATAGCCTATTGTGATTTGTTATCCTTTTGATCTCCTCTACATAATTACAACTACAAATTTATTTGTGAAGATGGCACTAATTTGCATCACAGTAAACAGAAAACCTAATGTAAATCACAGTAAACACAGTAATCACAGTAAACAGAAAACCTAATGTAAAATTTACAGAAAACTGTTACCCTTATTAATACTAACCATTAATTTCAAATATACTTACAAACTTTCAAAAATTAAGACTTCACATTTCCATTACATAAAAGTTCTCTACTAGAGTTAACTGTAGGAAAAGCAAAAGATTCCTATTTGCTTATTTTTCATTTGTTAAAACAAATAAACTTTTCATACCCCTTCTGCACACTGTAGCAACAGGCTTCCATTTAAAGAGTTTGAAATAACCAAGAGCACAATCCTGACATCCTTTCAACTTTGCTGAAATTCAACTGATACGAGATTCAATCTAGATCTAATGAAGGCTCATTATCTCATCTTTAAATGTTAAATACTTAAATATAACTGGAGTATTTAATTGCAGTTTTATTTCAATAAAGTTTAATACTCTTGGTTCTAAAAATCCCATAGGACTGATTCATTTTTCAATATCATCATGTTCTATTTTTCCTTTAACTCTACAGTACTTTTCCAAATCTCCACCCTGTCACCTCTAAATCTCCTTCCCTCATCCTATGGTAAACTGAGGTGATGAAGACATAGTAAATCTGACAATGCCATTACATCACAAAGTTCCTGTCTACCTCATAGAGAGGTTATGCATTTATTTTTAAATATTGAACATACTTTGAAAAGGTTAAAACCACCATTAAAAATGCTTAGTAATCAGGCACAAATGACACATATTGTAGCACTTCATTTTTATAAAATGTCCATAACAGGCAAATCTAGAGATTGAAAGTAGATCAGTGACTTCAAGGGGATAAGGGATGACTGCTAATGTGCATGGGATTTCTTTCTGGAGTGACAAAAAAGTTCTGGGATTGGATTGTGCTGATGGCTACACAACCTTGTGAATGTACTAAACGCCACTGAACTTTAAGTGAGTGGATTTATGGTATGTGAATTATTATCTCAATTTTAAAAGGGCTTAGTTAATCTCAGAAAACTACATAATCTATGATTACGGAATCTATGATTCCAACCATATAAAAAAGGCAAAACAATGGAAACAGTAAAAAGATCCATAGTTGCTAGGGGCTGGAGTAAGGGAGAGATGGACAGGCAGAGCACAGAGATTCTCAGGGCAGTAAAAACACTCTGTACGATAGATACCACCTGATGGACACGGATCCTTACACATTTGACCAAATCCATCCAATACACAACACTAAGAGCGAACTCTAATGTAAACTAGTGGATTTGGGGTGATTATGATGTGTCAATGTAGGTACGTCAATTGTAACACATGTACCATGCAGATGGGGAATACTGAAAAAGGGGGAAGCGAAGTATGTTGGAGGACAAGGGAGTATATGGGAAATCTCTGTACTCTCCACTTAATCTTGCTGTGAGTCTAAAACTGTTCTAAAAAAGTAAAATCTTAATAATAGAGTTTAGTAGGATTCTCAGATATTACTACAAGATTTTAATAGGATCTCCCATGAAAAACGATCATGGTTCTTCTATTGTTCTGTATTTTACTATAAGGATGCTCTTTACTCCCAAAAATGACTATTTTATTCTTTTAAAATTTATTTTTATTTTAATTCCAGTGTAACTAACATACAGTGTTATATTAGTTTCAGGTGCACAATATAGAGATTTAGTAATTGGGCATATTAGTGCTTATCAAAATAATTGTACTTTTAATCCCCTTTGTCTATTTCACCCACCCTCCAGCCGCTTCCCCTCTGGTAACTATCAGTTCTCTATAGTTGAGTCTGTTTTGGGGGGCGCCTGGCTGGTTCATTTGGTACAGCACACAATGCTCAATCTCAGGGTCATAATTTCAAGCCCCACATTGGGCATGGAGCACTATTTAAAAAACAAAACAAAACAAACAAGGTCTGTTTTTTGGTTTTTCTCTACTTTATCCATTCATTTATCAATAGACACTTGGGTTGTTTCCATAATTTGGCTATTGTAAATAATGCTGCAATCAACATAAGAGTGCAAATATCCTTTTCAGTTAGTTTTTCATATTCTTTGAGTAATATGCACTAATACCCATTATGATATGGGAATTCGATTTTTAATTCTTTTAGGTTTAGGAACCTCCTTACTGTTTCCATAGTGGCTTGCATTCCCATCCCTGCTGCAAGAGGGTTCCTTTTTCTCTACATCCTTGCCAACACTTGTTTCTTGTGTTTTTGATGTTAGCCATTCTCATAGGTATGGAGTGAAATCTCATTGTGGTTTTGATTTGCATTTCCCTGATGAGGGGTGATACTGAGCATCTTTCACTTTGTTGGCCATCTGTATGTCTTCCTTGGAGAAATGTTATTCATGTCTTCTGCTCATTTTTAATTGTATTGTTATTTAGGTGCTAAGTTGTGTAAGTTCTTTATACATTTTAGATACTAACCCTTTATTGGATGTCATTTGCAAATATCTTCTCCCAGTCAGTTGTCTTTTAGTTTCATTGACTGGTTCCTTTGCAATATACAAGTTTATGCTTTTAAATAGTCCCAATAGTTTATTTTTGCCTTTGGGAGGGCTTTATATTTTGCTTTAGTTTCTCTTGCCTCAGGAGACATATCTAAAAAAATACTGCTATGGCCAATGTCAGAGAAATTACTGCCTGGGCTCTCTTCTAGGATTTTTATGGTTTCAGGTCTCACATTTAGATCCTTAATTCTACTTTTGTCTACAGTATAAGAAAGTGGTCCAGTTTGATTCTTTTGCATATAGCTGTCCAGTTTTCCCAACACTATGTGCTAAAGA